ACTGAAAAATAGAGAAATCGAAAAATCGAAAAATCAAAAAATGGAAAAAATAAAAAGTCGGAAAATTTCAGTCGAAAAATTGAAAAATAGAAAATTTAGGAACGCCAAAAATTTAAAAATAATCGAAGAATTGAAAAATCGAGAAATCAAAAAATCGCCAAGTCGAAAAATCCAAAAACCCAAAATTTAAGAAATTGAAAAATCAAAAATTTACAAACTTTATAAATCAAAAACTTGAAATTTTGAAAAATTGCAAAACTAATAAATCGGGAAATCGAGAATTGGAAAAAATTAAAAAATCCAAAAGTCTCAGTCGAAAAATCGAAAAATCGAAAACTTGAAAAACCGAAACATGGGTTAATAGAGAATTTAAAAATTGAAAATTTAGAGACGCCAAAAATTGAAAAAAAATTTTAAAAATCGAAAAATCAAAAAATTGAAAAATTAAAAAATTCAAAAATCGAACGAAATATACAAACATTAAAGAACTGAAACACTGAAAAATCTAGAACTGAAATTTCGAAAAACTTAATACTGAAAAATTGAAAAATCAAAAACCTAAAAATCGTATAAACGGTCAAATTTTGATTAAAAACTTACCACAATGTCACGGAACAGAAAGAAAAAAGAAGAAAAGAAAGGATTAAAGACGAACTGTAGTTAAGAAGAAACGTTAATGACATGGACCATCAGAATAAAATGAAACAAATAGCACATTGGAACTTTATATATTAAGAACATGATAACAATAAAGGAAAAAATAAAAAACAAAAGAGAAATAAATGATAAGAGCTCGATTTCAATGCAAGACTAGGAGAAAAAGGAGGAAGAATAGACGATACAAAAGATGATGGTAAAAGAAAATCCAAAGATAAAAATGAAAATAGGAAAGGAAAACAAATGTTGAAATTAATCGAAAATAATTCACAGTTCGAAGTGGGAGAAAAGATAGACTCCGAACATATGCCATTGGAGGAGGAGAAAGCTGAAATTGTCACAAATAAAACTTGATTGACTAATTGTAATTCTCAGTTAAACCAAAAAGAGTTGGGGATAAAATTGAAATCAAATAGACGTAATTAATTCATTTGATAGTTCATAAAATGAAAATTTGAAAATGTTGCACTGTTTGTGTTGACTCTGACATCTATAGTTTTCTACCAGAAGTGCACTTAAAATAAGAAAAGTCCTCCTTTATTTATTCCCTGCAATAATAAAACGAATGAATTCTTTGCGAAAACTGACGACAAGTGATTTTCTCCAGCGTAATATCGTGCATGAAATGCGCCCAAAGCGCTAGGTTGTTGCAGTTAATATCAGAGAGGTGACAGCTTGAGGTGTGAGCAAGAATAACCCTTAATCGAAATACAATTTTTTTAAAGCTTTCTAGTCAAACAAGTGGTGCTCAAGCACCGATAGCTTCCACATTCGTACGAATTTTTTGCCCCAACGTTAATTAATTCGAAAGTTTATTATCCCCCGCCGCAAAAAAAGAAGACTAATTGAGCCCCAAACCAGGTACACGTTCCAAGAATTGAGTAATGATACCATTAACCGTACAATATCGCATTCCACCGCAATATTTTCCAGTCGATTACAACCACCATTAAACCAAAATGTGGCTCATAAAGTTGGCAACACTTATTTATGCGAACAGTGCAACATTTCATTTGCATATTGTAGTGGCAGTAAAGTTTCCACGCAGTTTTCCCAATATGTTTGACCACACTCGGGCGTTATAATCCCATAAAACAAAAAATACAGATCAGGTAGAAACGGAATTTCGTTAATGCCAACGCTACGAATAACATGCTTTTACTGCACAATGAAAATTTAATTTACAAGGAAATAAAAGCCAACCCTTGTAAAACATCTGGAGGTAATATACAGACAAAAGAGGGTTCCAATCTTGCATTTATTATTACAGTGAAGGGGCGATTGTTTTCTAAATAAACACAGTTGTCTCGTGTCTGTACACGAGTAGGTGGTCCGTACGGAGACAAATAAATCGACGACAATGTACACAGTTATCGATTTAATCCACCCAAAGTGGGATTTCTGCGGAAAAATACAACGCGCAATCAGGAAAATGGAAAGATTAAATAATTAAAATTAAGCGTTTTGCGCGGATTTAAATTAGGGAGATTCTGAAACAAAGATGCAGATTTAATTACGAACGGGGATGATTTTTACATCAGATAGCGTTTTATCAATTTTGGGATCGTGCCACAGCTGCCAGAAAAATTATTCCTCGATAAGACTTTATGTTATTATCACGCGCGTATTTCATATAAACCTTGACGGAATCTCTGTTTACCTGTATGCGTCGACACACAATAATAATAGTTTTTATATAATTTTGTATTCTACCCCAGCTGTCATTACTAAGTTGCACAGGTGCTTAAATCCGTAGCACGAACCCAATAAACACAAGAAAACATACAAATTTATGGCCTCTAAAGACCTCGTTATTTCCTAATAAATCCAAACACTCGTAAAAGCGGATATTTGTTTGCTTAATTTCGTCAGAACCCGAAGTAGAGCGTCCATTTTTATAAGCAGAACTTTCCGAGTTAACCCTTCCCATTCGAGCAACCATTTCTGCCCTTGCCCTAATTTCATCTGCATAAGTATTCGGCTCAGCTAAGAAAATAAATACAGAACGTAGCGATTACCTCACCCTGTTATTATTCAATAACCCAGCAAATAACCCTTGATAATCTCGAAGCCTGAAAATACTTTCATTACCGTAAAACCGCATAATTCCGTTTACTCAAATTAAAATACTTGAAGAAAACTTGGTTAGAATGTTTGCCTCTATCACGAAGTTAATAAAGTGCGCCCCTTCTAATTATTTGTTTTGAGGCGTAACGAAATCAAAAGAAACTTTAACCTTTGCACAATAAATAATTTTAAAGGGAGTTCGGGAGCGCTGTTTCGATTAGCCGCAAAAACGACAAAAATTGAAACGTTCTTGTTTGCGGCGGAAGACAGACGCTGCATATCTTGGCCGCTGTTTAGTGAATTATTTAGCGAGGAAACATAATTGCGTCTTTGTGGGGTTTTGTCCGGTTTAGTACAGTTTTATTCGGTGGTGAATTATAGAAAGGGTCGGACGGCAAATTGGCCGATAAAATCGACAGCCAATGCGATATGCTTCCTCCTTTAATAGTACATAAAATAACAACATTTTCTGCAAGCGCACCATTTTTCGTACTAATAAAACTTTACAACCTATGGCGAAAAACCAGAGTCGAATCGGGTTCACTCTGTGACGGATTTATCGGACTCTAGCGGTCCGATAAAATAAATATCTCAATATTTTGCCACATTTTAACTAATTAATGACTAATGAGATACTTTACATGGACGGACAATGTTTCAAATGAATACCGAACCGAGTTAGACCAGATAACAAGTTAATATATTATCAATAACGGTCGGTTTTTGCACAACCACATTACCCCAAAACTGAAAATCAATAATTAATGTACTAATATACAGACAAATAATTATATTGTCCTTTCAACACCACCATGAGCTGAATTTATTAATTAACAACGCCCAGCTCTACACCAAAAGCAACTAAAACGGTGCTCTGAAAGCCTGCATTTCCTTTAGAAGCTCGGAGCAGAGGGCTTCATTTAAAACTCTGCTAGTAAATCTGATCTAGAAAAAGAATCTCTTCTTTGTGAAACTTGAAAGAAAAGACGTAATGAAAACGTCTTACTTTACTTATTATAAAAAAACGTGATATTTTTAGTCCACAGTAGTGGGTATTTCGAGTTAATTAATCTGAATATAAAGAATTTTTAAGTCACTCATAACCTAACTTTCCGATAAGTAGGCAACCAATAATTCAGCTTGCCGCCGCAATGTCCGATCTTCTATAATCACATTATTAATTAAAAATTAAATTGATATGAATACGTGACAAAAATGTACATTATATACCAAGTATTTTTACGAAATTTCATTCAGAACAACGTTTGTATTTTTTAATATTTAAGGGAATTTTATTCATTTATATTTTTGTGAAAAATTCAAATAAAGAGAAACCCTTTTAAAATTTCTCTCTCTTCGCCTAATGTACATTTATAATTAAATTAACATTGCAACGTTTTATAAACAACCAGCCATAAAGAAAATAATTCAATTTAAGTAGATTAGAGGAAGCAAAAACGTGCTAAATGGAAATTTTAAAATACTTGTAAAAATAATATTGGCGTATACACACGTCACCGCTATAGCCGGAGTTAATACGTAATTATTATTATTATTATTATTATTATTATTATTGTTTGGTATGTTCAACGGAGCAATACTCCAATTACAGAACATACATCTGATGATTTCAACTTTATAATATATATAAATATATAAATATCACAATTATATTTTCATAGATAATTTTTAAGGTAATTCGGAGAAGTCGAGTTTCTTCAATTCAGAAATCTTGGTTGTAAACAGATCTGTCTGATTATGGGCATAATTACCTAAGCGACACATTGTCCATAGAGGAGAATATTTTAAGACATCTGTACGAGACTTTTCAATATAAAAAATTGACATGTTCCTTGTATTATATGCTCTTACGTTTATATGGAAACTTATTTGTGCCAGTAAGCATGGACAGTCGAAAACAGAATTAATTAAAAAAGTAATTGACAGTAAAGTTCCACATTTGCTTAATATTAGGACAAGCACAACCTTATATGGTCTCATAAGAACATAATTTTGCGTCAGCATGTCTCAATAGAGCTTGGACAATAAAAGAAACCACCAACGGGAGATGGCGCACTCAAATCGTATTCCCAATTTAGATTTGGGTTTCCATTTCCTCATTCGCAATCTTTTCAGTATTGTTATTATAAAATTCCACATTATCTCCAAAACTTCAATAAACATTTAAGTGTTAATTTTGTGATAGTTTGAAAATGACTTAGTCCCACTTTCGAAGCACAAACTTTTGGGCCAAAAAAACTTTGCGAACTCCTTACCCCTCGGCAAGCTCGCCAGCAGCACGCACAGAATGAGTCCGCCGCCCCCGTGCACCATTGTCCGCACGCACCTACCACCACCAGCACCCCGTTTCAACGGCGTACCGCCACCATAAAACACCGCCAACGATCATCCCGTTTCGGAAGCGCCGCGAGCCGTCTCGACTTTCGGAGACGCGCTGGACCGAATGAGAAGTGGATGTAGCGAGTCTCCGACAAAGAGGGTGCGCAAGCGTCCGCCGATTGCACCCCCGCTGTTTACAATACAGCGAAACACCCCCAGGAGCAATGCATATGATTACCGGCAATTAGCAACTTTGACATCCATTTACATACGAATCTGCTCTTAAGCCGGACCATAATCAACGCTAAGTCCTATGGTGACGGCTTTAATGGTACTGAGGGGTTTATTGGGGTTGTTAATGGCGCGGGACGTCCGGAAGGTGCCCATAAGCAGTTTGGACGAGTTGGCTGAGGAGGGCGGCGGTGGTTTCGTGGGGTGGGAAGGAATCGGCAGAATATAAATATGTTCAGATATTTCTCGTTTTTATTGTAAATATTTTTAAAAAGGCCATTGGCAAAATTCTATTTTTTCGTCAAAAAGTGAACAGAACCCCCACTATATAACGACTCCGGTATCTGGTTTACTCCGCACGGAATTTAACTGACTCCAGGGGCCAATATTAACTCGTTGTCTCTGTTGATATTGTTTGTAGTGGACTTTCTACATCATAAATTTATTTTATCTCAGCGTAAATGTTGACCACACGTCTAAAAGCTAAATAAACATTGTAGGATATGTTCTACAAAGTCCGCTAAATAATCTTTGACAAAATAAAATATGTAGTTTATGGCGTAATGTATATTTATTTGTGTTAATCATTCATCAATATCAGTACATTAAATGTAACTAAAAAAAGGTGATAATGTATTGTATTGTAATCGATTCCATTAGGGGACTAGCTACTTTTATGTTTTCTCTATGTTATGATTATGACATCTCATAACACCAAAAAAATTATTTATCAAATTTTCTATTTTGATTTTTCTATATTCGAATTTTCGGTGTTTTTAATTTTCGATTTTTTGATTTTTCGTTTTTTTATTTTTCGATTTTTTCATTCTCCACTTTTCATTGAAATTTTTACTTTTTAATTTTTTTATTTCTCAAGTTTTTGATTTTTCGATATTCGAATTTTCAGTCTCTCTACTTTTCGGTTTCTCGATTTTTCAATTTCTCCATTCTTTATTTAGTTTTCAGATTTTTCAATTTTCTTGCTTTTCGATTTTTCGATTTTCCTTTTTCTTCAATTTTTAATTTTTCGATATTCGAAAATTTCTAGATTTTTTAATACTTCACTGCTCAACTTTTCGATTTTCTAGTTTTCAACTTTTCAATTCTTCAACTTTCAGAGTCGAATTTTTTATTTTTCAATTTTTCAATTTGTCCATATTCAAATTTTCTATTTTTTCTGTCTTCACTTGCAATTTTTTTACTTTTCAGTGTTTTGATTGCGCGAATGTTTGATTCTTTAAATTTTCGATATTTTAATATTCGAATTTTCAACCTTTTTAATGTTTTTGTAACCTTTGATTTTTCTATTTTTGGAATTTTAGATTTTTCGACATTCGAATGTTTAATATTTTTATTTTTCAGTTTTTCCATTCTTAAGTTTTTGATTTTTATTTTTTTTTATTTTTGAATAATTTGATTTTTTGAGTTTTTGATAGTAAATAAATAAATTCAATTGTTTTACTTTCCGACTTCTCGAGTTTTCGATTTTAGATTTTTCGAATTTTCGGTTTTTCAATTTTTCCATTGTTCATTTTTTAGATTTTAACTTTTTTATTTTTCAATATTTCGATTTCTTGAATTTTCGTTTTTTCGATATTCATGTTTTCAAATTTTTCATTCCTCACTTTTTCAATTTCTCGATCTTACAATTCTTCGATTTTTTGATTTTTCTATTTTCGATTGTTCAATTTTACGATTTTCGAGTTTTCGATTTTTTAATTCTTGTATTCTTCAAGTTTTTAGATTTAATTTTTTTTATTTTTCGATGTTTCAATTTCTCGAGTTTTCTATTTATTCGTTCTTCAAATACTTCATTGTTCCATTCTTCATTTTTTCCATTTTTCGATTTTTTATTATTTCATTTTTCGAATCTTCATTTTTTGTTTTTCTCCATTGTTCAGTTTTTAGACTTCAATTTGTTTATTTCTCGATATTTTGATTTTTCGAACTTTCGGTTGTCGTGTTTTCGATTTTGGGTTTTTCATTTTCCAATTTTCAATTTTTCGATTATCGATTTTTTGATTTTCCGGAAAATTTTTCTAATTTTAAATTTTTCCATTTTTTGATTTCTCGATTTTCGGTGTTTTAGTTTTTCGATTTTCCAATTTTTCGAATATTTTATTCAGAGAACTTAAGATTTTTCGAGTTTTAAGTTCTTCTAGTTTACGATTTTCGATTTTTGATTTTTAGAGTTGTCGATTTTTCAATTTTTCCACTCTTCGGTTTTGAGTTTTTAACTTCTTTATTTTTCGATATTTCGATTTCTTGAATTTTCGATTTTTCGATAGTCAAATGTTTAGTTTTCCATTATTCAATTTTTCGATTTCTCGATTTTTCAATTCTTGGATTTTTAATTTTTCGAATTTTCTTTTTTTAAATTTATCCATTCTTCAATTTTTCCATTTTTCAATTTTTCATTTCTTCAATTTTCGAGGTCTCCTTTTTTTCCTCTTTTCCCATTCTTCGGTTTTTAGACTTCAATTTTTTATTTCTCGATTTTATTCACTTTTCTAATTCGATTTGGGTATTTTTATTTTCCCATTTTCCATTTTTTGATTTCGAACTTTTCGATTTTCAATTTTCGATTTTTCGATATTCCGGAAAATTTTTCTAATTTTTGGATTTTTGTAAATTTAGATTTTTCCAATTTTTCATTTTTCGGTTTTCGGTGTTTTAATTTTTCCATTTTCCAATTTTTCCAATATTTGTTTCATAGAATTTTCGATTTTTCGAATTTTAAATTTTTCTAGTTTGCGATTTTGGATTTTTGATTGTTCAGATTTTCGATTTTTCAACTTTGCATTCTTCTGGTTTTAGATTTTAATTTTTTTATTTTTCAATTTTCACATTTTCAATTTTTTGCAATCTTCACTTTTTCAAGTCTTAGATTGTTCGTTTTTCGAATTTCAATTTTCCTTTTTTTCTATTCTTCAGTTTTTAGGTATATATAAATTTTTTTTTACGTTTCGATTTTTCGATATTCAAATTTTCATTTCGTTTATTTTTCGATTTCTCAATTTTTTCATTTTTCGATTTTCGATTCTTCAATTTTACGATTTTCGATTTTTGATTTTTCTAATTTTCGATATTTCAATTTTTCCATTTTTCAGATTCTAAATTTTACTGTTTATTTTTCGATTGATCAATTTCCCGGGTGTTCGATTTTTCGATATTCAAACTTTCAACTTTTCCATTCACTTTTTCGATTTTTCGATTTTTTGAGTTTTTGATTTTTCGAATTTTCGATTTTCGGTTTTTCGATTTTGAATTTTTTCATTTCTCGATTTTCAATTTTTTGAATTCCGTCTTTTCGATTTTCAATTTTTCATTTTCCGATGTTGCGATTTTCCAGAAGTTTTTTTATTTGTTGGATTTTTCTAATTTTGAATTTTTCCATTCTTTGATTTTTCGGGTTTCGATTTTTCGATAGCCACATTTTCAATTTTTCCATTCTTCACTTTTTCAATTTCTTACCTTTCGATTTTTCAGTTTTCGAATTTTTAATTGTTTTACTTTTGGATTTCTCGATTTCTCAATTTTTCGATTTTTCGATTTTCGATTCTTCAATTTTACTATTTTCGATTTTTGATTTTTCGAATTTTCGATTTTTCAATTTTTCCATTTTTCAGGTTTTAGATTTTAATTTGTTTATTTGTCAATAGGTCAATTTCCCGGGTGTTCGATTTTTCAATATTCAAATTTTCAACTTTTCCATTCACTTTTTCGATTTTTCGATTTTTCGGTTCTTCATTTTTAGAATTTCCAGTTTTTCTTTTTGCCTTCTTCAGTTTTCAAACTTCAATTCTTTTATTTCCCGATTTTTTGATTTTTCGAATTTCGATTTTCGGTTTTTCGATTTTGCATTTTTTCATTTATCGATTTTCGATTTTTCAAAATTCCGAATATTCGATTTTCAATATTTCGATTTTGCGATTTTTCGGAATTTTTTTCTAATTTTTGGATTTTTCTAATTTTTAATTTTTCCGTTTCTTAATTTTTCGGTTTTCGGTGTTTTAATTTTTCAATTTTCCAATTTTTCGAATATTTGATTCATAGAATTTTTCATTTTTCTAGTTTACGATTTTGGATTTTTGATTTTTCGAATTTTCGATTTTTCAATTTTTCCATTTTTCAGGTTTTAGATTTTAATTTGTTTATTTGTCGATAGATCAATTTCCCGGGTGTTCGATTTTTCGATATTCAAATTTTCAACTTTTCCATTCACTTTTTCGATTTTGCGATTTTTCGATTCTTCATTTTTATAATTTGCAGTTTTTCTTTTTGCCATTCTTCAGTTTTCAGACTTCAATTTTTTTACTTTTCGATTTTTTGATTTTTCGAATTTTCGATTTGCGGTTTTTCGATTTTGGATTTTTTCATTTCACGATTTTCAATTTTTTGAATTCCGTCTTTTCGATTATCAATTTTTCAATTTTCGATTTTACGATTTCCCAAAACTTTTTTTTATGTTTGGATTTTTGTAATTTTGAATTTTTCCATTCTTTGATTTTTCGGTTTTCGATATTTCGATATTCAAATTTTCAATTTTTCCATAATTTTTTCGATTGTTCGATTTTTCAATTCTTCATTTTTAGAATTTTCAGTTTTTCTTTTTTCCGTTCTTCAGTTTTCACACTTCAATTCTTTTATTTCTCGATTTTTTGAATTTCCGAATTTTCGATTTTCGGTTTTTCGATTTTGAATTTTTTCATTTATCGATATTTTAATATTCGAAATTTCAACCTTTTTACTGTTTTTGTAACCTTTGATTTTTCAATTTTTGGAATTTTAGATTTTTCGACATTCGAATATTTTTATTTTTCAGTTTTTCCATTCTTCATTTTTTCGATTTTTAATTTTTTTTATTTTTGAATAATTT